GTTTAACCCCGCGCAACAGCAGGAAGACTCGCCTGTAAAGCAGAAGGGTACGGATATTCCTATCTCTGACACAAGCTGTGGAAAGCTTGAAAAATGGAAAAGCTGCTGGAATGGATGAAATCCGCCCTGAGACGCTAAAGGCATTAGACGAACAAGGTATATGCTGGATTACACGTGTCTGTCAAACTGCACTGACTACGGGGAAGACACTAGCGGACTAGAGAACAGGAGTTGTTTACTCGTCTTCAAGAAGGGACATTAGAGGCAGCGCTCCAATTACCGAGGCAATAACTTATCGAGCCTCCCGGGTAAAGTCAACGCAGAGGTGCAGTAGAATAACATACTAGAAGGGGAAACAACGGTGCAGTGGCTTCTGATCAGGGCGAAGTACCTCTGACGAAATCTTCCCCTTGCGCCAGACTTTAGCGAAATCGTGGAAGCTCCAATGCCAGTTGCAAAGGGTCATCCAATCAGCATATGCTGATAGCAGGTGCTGCGTCAGAGCAAATGGAGTTAAGTTAAAAACTCTTCGTGTTGGCACTGGTCTCCGCCAAGGTTGCGACCTGACTCGTCTCCTGTTTGTGTTGCACATGGATAGAATAGTCAGCAGCTGTCAAGGCGACGAGTGTATCGGTGTAGAACATGTGGAGACCAGAAGATTGTTGTTTGCAGACGACCGTGTTTCATTGGCATGTTCTGAAACTGATCTTCAGTGCTCCTTAGAAAGGTTCGCAGCCGAGTGCGACGTGACCGGCATGGGTGTGAACGCATGTAAAAAAACGTCTAGTGCTATCTCGTTGTTCTGCCCGTTTCTATCTGCAGATTAAGCAGAGACAGTAGAACAGGTGAAGTTCAAGTACCTCGGAGTCGTATTTACTAGTGATGGAAAATTTGAGGAAGAAATCGATCGGCGAATTGGAGTAGCCAGTGGCATTCCGCGTGCACTAGCCCGAACCACTGTGACTAATGCAGAGCTGAGTCTGAAAACCAAGCACTCGGTGTTCAAGTCGATCTTCACACAGATACTCACGTACGGCCATGATTCGTGGGCAATGACTAAAAAAGTTGATACGTTGTATAAGCGGCTGAAATGAGTTTTCAGAGATCAGCCGCTGGCCTTACGGGTCTCGACATTGTTTGGAGCAGAGAAATGCAAGAGAACCTGTGGTGTACAGCAGTGGCTTGTTCAGACTGAGAAGTTACAGCCGCGATGGTTTCGGCACGTGTTGGGAATGCTAGCAAAATGGAACGCCAGAATGATGGCATTTGCAAAACCGACTGAAAACCCAGACGACGGTTATCTTCTGCAGAAACTCAGACTCTGGCACAGGATCGGCAACTTCAGAGACATTGTCTGAAGCGTAGGCGTCAGGGACCGAAAAGGATAAACGATCACTGAAACTGATCGAGTGACTGACAGACAGACAGACCGACAGACAGACAGACAGACAGACAGACTGACTGACTTGATTGACTGGGATATCCGGGAACATGGCTTACGAAGTTACGCAACGCCTGTGTTTGTAGAAGTAGCTGGATTAACTTCGTTCAACGGTATTACTATCACTCCTTAGCAAATAAAGCCAGGACTCGTTAACCTCGCGATGCTTGTTCTTCAATCATGGCCTAATTACGTCGAGTGCGAGCCATATATAGCCGTCACCTTGAGGTGTACGATTACCGCAGCTCGTGCTCTGGAATCATCGTGCTGCGCATTTGTTGATTCTGTATTAAACTGTTTAAACAAACAGCCAAACAAGCAATTACTGAAATTAAGTTGAGTATGATTGAATATTTTAAATTCAGTTAGATCATTTACATTCACCCTAGACTTTGTTAAAATTCAATTTTAAAATCGCATGAAAACTGTCTCCAAAAAAGACAGCTATCAGTTCAAAGTATAGACCCGCAGCGTAGCTTCAGTTTTATTCTTGCTGAGTGTAAGCTTACAGAAGTAATAAATATTCCGGTTGTTTTTAAACTCTAAAAATAGTTCCTACTTGAGATACAAGGATGAGCGTAGATGAACTATAGCAAGTCGACTCTGTGATAAACCAGTAGTTTATGTATTGGGCTTTCGATGCTTCACGTATTTCAGTCATGAAACCAGGAGAGAGGTCACAACTTTATCAGTGAACACAGTCGAGACAGTGTTCATACAACTGGGCCTAAATGGAAACACTGGTTAAGCTATTCTGCAGTCAACCACTATGATGGTAGCTTTGGTACGGATTCATGTCGCTTACCGGATTTACAAGGCAAAGGGCGGACAGCTGTGTTTCCGGCTGCCTAACGGATTGTTTAAGAGGTTGCGAGTAGATGGTTCTGTGTGCCTGCGGTACATCGACACAAGAGTGTATCGCCAAGTTATAGCGAATAGAAGTATACTGGAACGCTAACGAAAATCGCCGTAAAATTATACAAATGTGATATGTTAAGATAATGTACGTGCATGTTTGTATTTCACAACTGTATCGTATTTTATACAATATAGGATTGATTTTTTTCCTAAATTTCGAATCCACCACGTTTCACATACAGCACTAAGTGAACGACATGACAAACAACCTTGGGGCATTTAAACGCTGAGTGCAAAGCACGGCAGTGCTGTGGCGCCGTCCTCACTGACTCACGTCTTTCACCTGCGGAGTTGACAGTCCCCTGACACGACGAAGAGTCACCGACGCGCCGCCACCGCCGCCGTACCGTTGGCAAGGCCAAGTGTAGAAGTGGCGCCGATGACGGCCCCCTTAACCTCCGCCGACAGACGACGGGTGCAACGAACATAAGACAGCTCATCTGTCTGGCGCGAGAGGTCGCACGACGGTCGGGTCGAAACATTTATAGTTCCGTTAGCTGAATGAGGCTGTGACCAGCTGACTGACTGATCACCGCACACCGGTTGTTTCCTGTCCACAGTTTTCAATCGGATCGGCGACCTTTCGTTGTAGCATTCGTTCAGCGATCAGTAAGTCATTCGCATCAAGTAATTTTTTTCACGACTAAACCGAAGCAGGCAGCGGACAAAAATTTAGTACACCAATCGCGAAAGCGAAGCGTCGGTTTTTTACAAATTGAAAGACCTTCGACTAGAAGAGGACGAAAACCTCAATTCAAGTGCCTCAGTAAAGATGGTGGTAACGACATTTCCAAATTCAGTTATTAATTATCACTCTGACTTTGCTCGTTTAAAAAAGGGGATAAGACGGGTTGTTGCATAGAGCCATAGATTTGAAAAAACTCAATAGCTTATTCTGCCTCGATGGATCTATGTAATTATATGTCATCGTCCAGACTGGCAATCCGGCTGGACACCGGTACAAGATGAAACTAATTCGTAATTCAGAACATATCGATATGGACTGTAGGTGATTTGCATTTTTGCGTTAAGTCCAAGCCGGTAACAGACTCTACTCAAGCGCTACGAAGTACGTTTAAGCAAAAGTCATATTAGGGGAAGGAAACTCAGCGGAACTGTTATCGTAAAATTCAATGATAAATTTTGCTACGGAATTCGAACGCGCTTAAAGCCCCAGTTTGAGAGCGTGGCGGAACGGGGGGGGATAATCGTCAACGGGAAAAGTAAGATCTGCGCATCGTCTACGAGTAGAATCCAGAAAATCTGGTGGAAAATCATTACTACACGATATGTCAGAAAATTATGTAATCAAATAATAAATAAAACTGAACAAGCGAGAAGTGATGACAAGTCCAAGTATCATGTTTAGCCGATTCCAGCTTGAGGAATAGAGGTACGAGGAAAAACGAGGTGTTTGAGAGAAAACATCCAAGGATACCCGAAAGCCACTGTACCACTGTGCGGACAAACCAAAATTTCATAAAGAACTGCATTACCGGGCAAATGCGTATCATGTGCTATGAAGTTTAGACATGTCTACAAACTATCATCGGTACTCACGGTTTGTACTGCAAATGGTTGCGCACGTGAAGTCCAAGGGAGCTGGGATTATCGGCCACCGATACGCCGCACAGCTGACAGTTCAGCTTCCCGACAGACGTTCCATACTCCATGCTAGTGTCGAGGTCGTCGCCGCTAGCATCGTCCTCGCCGTCATCAATTGCTAGGCTTTCGTCGCCAAGCACAGCGTTCGAATCAGAGCAGTCCGAAAGGAGATCGCCGTTGCTGCTCGATACAAGAAGTTCCATTTCCGCGGCAATTTTCTGGCGCAATTCATTGGCCTTTAAGAATAAGTAACTAGGGTCAAAGTTCACATCAGAGGTAATTAATTTTTAATCAACAATCTAACAACAAATTACCGCCTTAAGTTCGTGACTCCGGAAAGCAGGCAAAGGTTAGGAGACTAAGCTAAGGACAATTCAGTTCATTTCCACGCAGGACTTGTGAGACAGTTCTGCGAAATCTTATTCAGTGCATTTCAGTACGCGTGTTGAGTGGTATTTAATTTGCGCATATATTTAATATTAATTTTTGATATTCGAAAGCAGGATTGGTTTAAGACAACGAGTTGACGCGGAACCGATGAACCAATGATTCCAAAAATGACAAGCGGAAGACAGCTTTAACCGGAAGCTGACAAGGAATATATTTTAGCCCCTATTGATTGACTTAAATTCGACTGAAAGCTGCATCATTCAAAACCATTCCTTACTGGAGGTGAAACTAAACGTCCAAGAACTGAGGAAGTGCCACCGTGTTCACATTACGGTGTACAGAGAACATTAACTGTGACTAAAGCAGAGCTCAATCTGAAAACTAAGCTCTCAATATTCAAGTCGATCTTTATCCCCATACTT